GGATAGTCCAAGGACTCTATAATGGTAAGCTCCGTAAAGATGAAACAAACCGTCTACTAGTTATGTACATGTTGTCTATGTCGAGGCCTATGATGGCACTGCAGGCATGAGCCTGTCGTCCGCGGGATTTAGAGCAAAATTCGCATGTGCTGTCGGTTGCTTACTGTTTTGATGGTGGACAACATGTCAAATTGTCTAGTGTAGATGTGGACCACAAAATAGTGCTTTTTGTCGGTATCAAAATGCCAATCTAAAACCACATTTATCCAAAATCCCATCAAAACGCAACGTGGATGTGTCCACAGGTATATTTCGTGATCTACATAATGTCAATGTTGACAATGTAAATGTCTTCCTCCGGCTTGTCAAAGCGGTCGGTCGCCACGTTCTCGATCGTCGTGACCGTGTCCTTGCCCGTCTCGACGCGGCCAAACACCGTGTGCTTGTTGTCGAGCCACGGCGTCGGCACGGTCGTGATGAAGAACTGCGACCCGTTCGTGCGTGGCCCCGCCTACGTATCCATATCCATCGATCCTGACAAGTATCAAGTTTGTATCAAGGACGTACGTTGGCCATCGAAAGCGTAAACGGCCGGTCGTGGCGCAAGTTGCGGTGAAACTCGTCTTCAAACGTCCCGCCCCAGATCGACTCACCGCCTGTACCGTTGCCGTTCGGGTCGCCCGTTTGGATCATAAAGTTCTTGATGACGCGGTGCACGAGGCAGTTGTCATAGTACCTATACCCTTATGTTAGTCTTTCCCGTGGATACCCTAACCCGGCTTACCCATTCCGCGCATGGGTGCAGAAATTCTCGACCGTCCGCGGCGCTTCGTTGGGATAGAGCGTCAAGAAGATGTCACCGAGCGTCGTGTGGATGACAGCGCGCGTCCCGAGCTTCGTGGCCGACGTCTCGGTCGCAATGTGCGACGCATCCAGCGTCGGTTTTTCGTTAAACACATCGCGCCTAGCACCATGTTTATGAGACAATTTGTACATATCTAGATTGTCTTATCGTACCCGCTCTCGTCACCGTCGTCGTCGTCGATCGGCTCGCGCGTCGAGAAGCAATAGAACCGCGACTTCTTGAACGCGGTTGCAAAGACCGTGGGGTCCGTCACGTTCTTGGCCTTCGGGTCGCTCATGACGAGCTTCTTCTGCGCCTGCGTCGACGCATGCTTTTGGAATTGGGTGTTGACATTGGGCGTGCCCTACAGGACCCCACGGTTGGCCATGATCCAAACGGTTAGTCGGATGCATACCTGGAAGAGGCAGATGCGCATGAACCGCTCCGTGTTCTCGACCTTGCCGAGCACACGCACGAGCTTGTTGGTCTCGATGTTGACCATCTTGATGCCCAACAAGGTCGGAAAGAGCAAGAAATGACCCGACGCGTCAAAAATGCAGTTGGCGACCGGCGGCGACGCGAGGACCTCCTTCTCCACCGCGACGCGCCGGCCAAAGTCGATCGCGTCGAGCTCCAAGCTGCCGTCGGCCTGTGCGTCTTCAAAGATTGCGAGCGACTCGTCGTACTTGCGGCGGAGCTTGCCCGTGACGAAGCGGAAGACGCGAATGACGCCGTCGGACGCCGTCACGACAAAGTCGTCGCCGCTCGCCGCAATGTCGATCGTCGTCGCAAACGCCTTGTGTTTCGCGAGCTCGTACAAGTCAGTCTCGCCCTTGAACTTGAAGCGGAGGCCCTTGGTCGGCAGCGCGTACGTCGACGGACTCCACAGCTCGAGCATGCCCTTCACGTCGCCCGACACCACGCAGTCGTGCACGGGGTTGTACGCAAGCACGGTGATTGGCGCCGCATGCAGCGTCGGCAGCGTGTGCAGGAGCGCGTCCGACGTGCGCTCGGCGTGGTAGACCCGGAGCGTCGGCGTGTCGACCTCGGCGACGACGATCTTGGGCACGACTTGGCCTTTCGGGAAGGCCCAGCAGCACGCGCCGGGGATGTAGTCGAGCGTGAGCATGTGCACCATGTCAAAGCCGAGGATGTCAAAGAACTTGATCGTGCCATCGGCCGACGTCGTCGCGAGCCGGAGCCCATCGGGCGAGATCGCGAGGCCGTGGATGGCCTTGAGGTGGGCCTTGTAGTGCTTGACAAACTCAATGCCGGTAACCATCTTGCGCCAAAACTTGACGTGGCCATCGCTGGAGGCCGTCACGAGGAACTGCGTCGCGTCCGAGAAGGCCACGTGCGTGACCACGTCGCGGTGCATGTAGCTCTTCTCGTACATCTGCGCGTTCGGAAGGTGCTCGAGCAAGCTCGCCTCCGTGGCCTTCTCCATGACGCGGCGGCGCTTGGGCGCCGGCATCGGCATTGGCATCGGCCCTTCGTCGTCGCTGCTCATGCTGGCCGCTGCTTCCAATTCAATGGTCTGCCTAATATTGGCACGCGCCACAATTACCACCACCTGCCATTTCGTGGCACATGCCACATTAGGATCTAACCGGACGACTCGGCTAGCCCAAATTCGGTTCATTACCGGTTGCAACCGGCACGTCGCCGCCGATCATGAGATCACTCCAGTGCGCGATCGAAGCCAAGGCCGTCGGTTGCACAGTAGCTTGGAAACAACCTCCTTCGACCATCCGCGTTTTGCCACGTCATCGAGATGCCACATCGACGTCGTGGCCTTGCCACTGGGCCTTGACGAGACTTCCACTATACAACATTGCCGTTGGTGGTCCTGGGATCCCATAGCAACCTCCACGCTGCGGCCCAAAGCCATGGATGGTCCAGAGCGTAGCGATATCGCAAGTACACACGGCTGGTGCCCTTTCTACAGTTGACGAGCCATGGCAAGTGGGTCAATCTCGTCAGTCGGTGACGAGCCAACGACCAGCATTCTCGCGATCTTTGAGCCATTTCATGGATCAGGTATCCTTGCCGATCGTCCAGCCAGCTCCTCAAGATGGTCATGACGCAACGCTATAGACGCATCATGCTCGTGCACTAGCGTCGTGGTCCATCGTTCTAGCGCGGCCGCCTCGCACTTGCTTCTCGCAGCGCAGGTCGTTCGAGTCATTTACGCTTTGTATACGGTATCGGGCGGCGATCTGTTGTCGCCAGCTGCGTTCGATGAGACGCAGCTTGTTCGACAACCTTCGCTGCGTTCAAGGGTCGGGTTGGATTCGCAGCCTTCTTCGATCGCTGGCTTTGCACTGTCCATACTTCATTTCGCCAACGCACCGAGTGGACTGTCACCGTCATGGCCCGTTGGAAGCGCCCCCAGAAGCGCCCAGAGAAGAAGAAGCAGAAGAAGAAGCGTTCGAACGGACCGGACCCGAAAGGTACATTCCAGAACGGCCCACCCGACGCCCAACGCTCTTTGATCGTAGAGTCGACAGAGAGCGACACGACCGTCTCGTCCACTGCCTCGACCTCGTTCACTGCCTCGTCCGCTGCCCCATCCACTGCCTCGCCAATGTTGAAGACCACCAACACGACCTTTGATGCGCACGAGCCACCGGTGGTTGTCATGGACGGAGCCATCACCTCCGAGGCGGTTGAGGCTGCGGCCAGAGTGTTCCACGCGATGGCCAAGGACTGCCCGCCACTCCTCGTCGCCAAGAACGTGCCGCTGGCCAAGCTTCTCGCGGACGGCATGGACGGGCGCGACTTTGGCGTTCGCCTCGTGGGCAAGTACGACCCGTGCTGCAACCCCCATGATCCGTCGACGCTCGTGTCGATCTACGTTGTCCGCAGTCTCAGTTTCAAGCACCAAGCAGCCGTTACCAAAATCGTTAGCCAGCTTGATGGGCAGCAAACTGGGCACTTGGAGACGCATCTCGGCGCCAACTTGATCGCGGGCGGTGGTCATGCGCACGTACCCGACGTGGTTGTGCTCAGCGACGATGGCACAGTGCGCATGATCGTTGAGTTTGAGTACAAGCACCGGAGCTTCCGGGTGCTGGTCGATTGCTGTTGTGGCTACTTGGCCACGTACCCCTCTCTGCGCACGACGGTCGCGATCAAGCTCTTTGGCGCGCAAGGCGGCGATCCGTTCCGGTTTGGCGCGATCGCGCTGCAGTACAAGCGCGACGCTGACGGTCAACCGCACCTCATGTACGCTGCGAGCATCGGCACGGCGCCGTTGACGCTCATAGCACAACGTCACATCCGTTGCAAGATTGGCGACGAGGCTTTCGCAGCGATGGGCCACTTTGAAGACGGCGTCGCGAACGAGACGGCGCTGCAACACGCGACCTGGGCGCACCCGACCATGGATTGTCCCCAGCTTTCCATCGAGGTGTCGGACCTCGAGTACTCGGACGTCCATGACCTCCTCGCGGGCGCACCGCCGACCAACGAGCGGCTGGTCATCGATCTCTACAAGGTCATTTTGGCTTGCTACAGAATCAGCGACGAAGGTGTGTGCACGCGTGAGGCGATCGATGCGACCGACGCTCAGGCCAGCGTCGACACCGAGGTCGTGGCTGACAATGACGTCATGAACGACC